TTGTTTAAGTGTAAATTTCAATAGGTCAAAAGATACCTGTTCCCTGTAAAACTATCCTTTCCTTTGACAGATTTGGATTTTTGATCTTCAAAGTCACGATCTTGCGAATATGGTCCTAATAGTTTTGTTAAAAGCGTGGTCTAAAGTTCGGGCCCTGGTTAAAAGTAAAACTAGCAGCTTTACTTTTAATTATTTTGTTATATTTTTTATAAATTGTTTATTTCCTTGATTAAAAAAAATTCCTTTATATGCATTTCTGGATTAATTTATATCAGTGTTCGTCTGATGAAAATGCATGCCGTGAGGGATAATTATCAAATGCATACCATTTGATAATTTTGACAACATACTTTCAAATTATTATTATCTTTTTTTGTTGATAATATTGTAAAAAAAATATACAAAGAAAAACTTTGGACAAAATTTTTCACTTTATTTCTAGAAAACTACAGAAAACTGTATTAATAAAGGCAATGATAAATACCTTTATCAATACCACAAAGAGAATTTTGTCAACTAAAGTACTGGAAATGTACTTAGAATTACAGCTTTTATTAAGCGTAGAGAAAATGGAAGCAAAACAATGTGTCATACAAAGCATTTAGTTTAAGTATTTTAAAAAAGATATATAATATGATTTTTAAACAAATAGAACAAATTTTTTATTTATATTTCCTTACTAATGCTGTTGTTAGTGATAAAGTACATAGTAATGTAATTTATGTAATTCAAGTAATTTATTTGAAGTCATTACTACTCATATAGCCTCCTCATAAAAAAATCTTTTTCTTTAAAAAATATGTATCAAATTGTCGCTGAAAGATGTAAAGATGTGTGATAATGTTAAAATGCGTATACCTTGATAGTATCACTAAATTGAAACTCTTTCAATGCACACAGCTTCAATTTACATATAATTGCAAATAATTATATTAAACTATAAGATTACCTAGATTTGGAGACCTAGATTGGTAGACAGGATACGGATAAAAGTGTATGAAATATTTTAATCTTGAACTAGGCATCTTGTTTACATCTTTGTTGAAATAAGTATTTTTTGAAGTTATACTTCTTATGCGATTTCCAACAAGGTTGCGTTAAACGTTTAACGCTACATTTTTATTGGCCGGGAAATCACGTGGTAGGATCCAGTTTTCCCTCATTCATTTCCATATTGTTTT